TTTTTTTTTTTTTTTTTGAGTGTAATATGAGAAAACTATTCAAACAAAATATGAAAATTTAGCATTTAAATCATCTATTTAGTCTTTAAAAATAATTTATTAAATATAAATTCAAAAATTTCAAGGATATATTACTAAAAAAGACTAAATGTACAACTTAATAATATTTAAAAAAATAAAAATAGAATCCAATTATATAAAAATAAATGGAAGAAGATTCAGATGAGAGATAAATGGAATAATTGAATTTAAAGTCAAAATGGGTGGAAAAATGAGCTCATTTATGAAAGGGGTGGGGGGGAGGTTGAATTCATTGATTACCAGATTTTTTTTTTTTTATATAGAAATTTATTAAACCCAAAATTAAAATTTTAATTGTTACATAATTTTTAAAAATTTTAATTATTAAATAATATTTAAAGTTGGAAGGACCTAATAGAGACAAATTTGGGATAATGAGCCTAAATTCAAAAAAAAAAAAAAAATAAAAAAAAAAATTGGTTTTTGGTCGAGGAGAGGTGGGAAGACAGAAAGGAGCATTCAAAATGGGAGGCAACCCTTACCCACTTTACTTTATTTGGTTCACATTTTTTAGTCCCATCTTTTAAATATCTCATTTTCCATTTTTTCAACCCAATCATGGCCCATTCAAGATCCCATTATCGGTTTTTAGATCGATAATTTATGTCTCGTTCAATGAGTTATGATCAAATTGACAATCATTTTAATGACCCTAAACAGACTTGAATGGACAAAGCTGAAACACGATAAAATATACATATAGATCATTCGGTTTCCCATCCTAGCGACGAGTCCGAATTGTAAGCCATAAAGCTTCAACATAACCTTTTTTTTTTTTTTTTTTTTTTTTTTTTCATTTTTATAAAAGGAAATTCATACTACTAAAGTTCAAAATATGTTTTTGACTCAAAATTCCAAAGATCAAACTTGGAGATTCAAGGATATTGGGAAGGTTACCCTCCAGCATAAGAAATTTGAAAGATGGAAGGGCCCATCACCTCCCCCGCTCTCCTCCTTCCTTCCTTCCTTCCTTCCTGTGGTGTGATGATATTGTAGCCTTCTACGAACCGAACGCTCGTTCTAATCTTCATCGAACTTGATCTTCTTGGGAGCTGGTTGGACACTGCCCACCTGCAAATTATCCAGAGTCAACACATTAGGAAACTAGACTGCAATTGTACATTCTAGAACTCAGCCGAAAGCCAACAAGATCGGGGCGAAGCCCCAGCAGATTGCAGCATTCAAATCATGGCACTGAACCTCGAATAAAGAAAAGTTTCACTTCGACCAATTGTATCTCATGAAGAGGGGGCATAATAAGTTGCTTAAGTTCTTAGAAGCCCATGTACAAGCACTCGAAACTATATAGGTTTGCAGTTTGTTCAACTCGAGAACATACCTGAATCGATGTCTACACCTGAGGTCTTTCATAATTACCCTTCTAATGTCTGCTATAATTACCCTCTTAACCATAAACTTTTGATTTTGAGACATTTTTATGATTTCGTTAGGTATATGGTTTCGTCAACGATCATAGCAAAAATAATCAGAAATGTTTTTGTCATGGGAATTGAGTTTGACCACAGAAGCAGAAATCAGCCAATCAAACTAAGGAATGGACTCACTATCTATATTAATGTTAAAATTCCAAGGATAAGTAGAAATCAGGGGTTGGTGAATAAACATCTATCATTTTTTAAAATTAACAGCTACAATTGAATAATCTTTGGAAAAAAAAAAAGATTCTTACAATTTCTGGACACTCATAATCAATCCCAGCAGCTCTTATCCTCTTCTTTCTAGCCTGATCCCGCTTCAAGATCCTCGCTACTAACTTCTTGTGCTCGTCCAATGTTCTTTCCTGAAAAGTTATCATAGAACAAGTAAAAAGAGATGTATGTTTATGGTCTAAAAGATCATTTTCCAAGCTTAATACCTTGTTATGCTGCTTACGCTCAAGTTCAGACCAATCTAAGGGCTTGTGGTGATAGCTAAAACCTTTCCATCTGCAAATATGACAACATTTAAACGACAAACGGAACAATGTTCTTCGAAAAATTCAACAACTACACCCCACAAGGATTGATGCAAAAATCTAGCAGGAGAAATGTAATTGATTACTTACAGTTTGGGATGAACATGCTCAGGAGAAATTAGATGGACTTTCAGAAGGTGTTCATACAACAAATAGTTATGCATAGAATCAGCCACAATTTTTGCCACCTGTGCTCACGAAATCCAAATTTGGGGTAAACTGAAAGTGACTAAGATGACTAACATCTAGAACAATTACATGTACAAATGCCCTAACATACCTCTGGAGATTCGAATTCAATGTATCCAAAATGCCTCGACTTCCCAGTCTGCGTATAAAAATTAAACCATGGATGAAGATACTGAGCATGAATGTTGAATTACGTGGTGAATTAACTTAATACAATGCAACATTCTCCATAGGAACCAGCCTTACCTTTCTATTTCGTGCAATTCTTATTCTTTTAACTTTCCCAAACTGTCCGAAAAACCCTACAGAAAACTATACCTTAAGAAGCAGCAGACAAGATAACGAGAAAATTATACTTCAAATTTCATTGAATGTAAAATGTAGGCGGCCAAACCTTCCATCTCCTTCTCGAAGAAGCCGTGGGGTATGCGACCAATGTAGAGAACAGTAGCAGTATTTTCCAGGGGCTTCTGTGCTGGTAATTTACGCCCAGGACCACCCTCCAATGGCTAAAAACAGAGGCAAGAGAGAGGAATAAGTACATAGAACACTAGAGAGGTTAAGAGAAAGGATGAACAAACACAAATTAACAAAAATCAAAATAAAAATCCGAGTCGAAGGGATTGATGAACAGTGTGAAGAGCATACATACCAAGAAATCGGCAGATTCCTTCTTGTCCGATAAGGAATAAGTAACCTTACTGAGTTTCTTCTTCATAGCCTTCTTCGCCTTGGCCCCCATTGATCTAAAACAAAAAAACAAACAAACAAACAAACAGCCAACGAAATTTTCAGGAAATCCGAAGCGGAAAGTAACGATATGAGTCCGAATTTCAAAACTGAAATGGAAAAGAGGAATCGAGATTCAAGTGGAAAGTTAGGGTTTATGAAGCGTAAAACGAAGATTAGGGTTTCGAGAGAACTGACATGAAAACACAGTAAGAGGAAGAAGAGGCGCGAAAAGAGAGAGAGAGCGGTGAAGTTGGAGGCGACGTATCACCAGGACGTAGGTCGAGGACTGGAGGACAGGTTAAACGCTGCCGTTTTAAGCTTTGACTTGGTCTTGACCCTTTTATTACACCATTTCATTCAATAATTAAAAATAAAATAAATAAACTTTTAAATTGGATTCTATTTTTAAAATCGTTAATAATAAAATTTAGGTTAAATTTAAAAAAAAAAAATCTAAAAAATTGGGAGAGTGCCGGTTGCTATATAAAGCAGTGGAAGATTCACTGGAATCTGTTCGTCGAGGAGGGAACTGATCAATGAAAGGCTTGCCGCCATTGGAGGTAAGTTGGATGCCTTGAACTTGATGTTTTGAATTTCTGCGCCATCTAGGTTAAGATTAGCCTCAGGAATTATACTAAGTTCTGTTTGAATCAAGTTCAGCGTTGTCTTGAATCTTAAATGTCTCCTAAATTCCTTAGTTTCAAACATTCCTGGCCCTGATTCTCTTTCGATTTGTACTTTCTCAACCAGAAATTCACCAACAGAAGAACCGATACATCTCTCTAACAAACACTACATGATCGACATAACTAAGAATCGGTAAATCAGGAATTCCATTTTCCAAACATGATTTGGGAAATAAAGCTAGAAAAAGTGGCTGTAAACTCACTGCTAGTTTAGAACGATTGTAAATCGACACCGATTCTTAATCTCTGGCTAGAATGAGATGCGAAATTCCAGGCGAATTGAATAGAAGCTTGTCTGGTTAGAGAGAAAGATAATCCAGTCGAACGAACATCGCAGCCACCAAAAGGGAAACAGTGGGTTTGATCGGTGAATCGAGCATAGGAACTCGGAGAGAAGATTGAGAGTGACATGGAACTCGGAGAGAAGACTTAAAGCTTCGGACATATTCTCATCAAACGCCATTGATATCATTTGGTCAAAGGTGGAAGAATTCTACAGATAGTTCTTATATAGGCCACAGTTTGAGAAAGAAGAAGATTGAAAATTCTTAGTTTTGTTTCCCTTTTCATTTTCTGGTATCAATTCAAACTGTATACAACAGACTTCTTGCAGTAACCTCTTATTGTTTGTTCTTCATCTTTCTATTTTCACAACCATACATGATCAACACAACAACTTTCAATGAACACTCTCCTTCAAAAAGAACAATCTTTTGTTGTACCAAACTGAAACAAGTAAAGCTCTCTCCCCAAAAAATATGTATATAATAAGTTAAAGAAAGGGAAAAGCTTCCCTAGATGATTCTTCATTCCACTATTTTTCTTTTTGCAGCACATAGGGAGGCAATGGGTGGTATAAAATAATTGAGCAGGGTTGAGCATATGAATCTGCTAGGAGTTGGGAACCAGAGTTCCGATGTAACCGACCCCGGCGATGAAGAAAGCGAATGATTGAAGGAAGAGGTAGATGAAGTATCGGTTCTTCCCGAAGTTGAGATCATAGCAGCCGCAGAAGAAGAGATAGGCTCCAACACAAAGCTCAAGCAGATGGAGTCTGTTCATCCACAATCAGAAAGAACAAGGTGATGTCTACAAATCCAGAAACTTGAACTAATTATGCTATTCTACTCACTAGAGTACATACATCACTAATGTATCTCGACGTGCTTTAATTGTTCGGTTTCCATAGGACTCATAAATAGTCAGTGTTGAAGACATAGAAACCAATAAAACAACATATTTCTTATAGCTAGGAATGCATGTGAATGATATTTTAGCGATAACAGTGCAATGAGAAATCTAGTTTAATGACATATTAGAAGTCCTTTATGAAGTGGGTTAAATTCCAAAACGTATATATACTGTTGCTTTTGTAGATTTTACCTTTCTCCAAATCTAAACCGAGGTTTCCAGGGAGTTTTGGAACCTAGTTTAGTCTTTAGTGCATCTCCCAATTTCTCGGTGACGACCCATTCATTTACTCTCCCTGCTTCCAACAGACCGATGAATGTTGCCTTTGTTCGGTGCAGCGACATGACATTCTCGAAAAGGATCCAGAAAATGATCAGGTGGAATGATCTGCAATTCAAGATTGTCAATCAAAACTGTAAGTATCAGTGTAGAGTTTTTTATATTCATCAACTGGAGGCGAAAATGCTAGAACCTGTTGTTCTAACAAATGAGAAAGAATTTTCCTTGACTCTTGGTTTCTAGTTCTAACAGGTAAGAAGATGACCTTGGTGTTCCGACTGCATTTAGGAGGGTGATCATAGAAGGAATATAAACGGCACCCCATTTTGGTACCGATACTTCAGGAACCAAGACGGTAGCTGGCAAAACAACACAATAAAATACAAACGTGACAATATGGGCGATGATCTTCCGAACAAAGAAGAAGCTATAGATCAGGTAAAGCTTTTTCCACAGGGAGACTTTCTGCAGGCACATAGAAAGCTAATGGTGAGGAGATACATAAAGACAATCCAACGAATGAAAGCAACATATCCAAGGAACACTCAAACCATGCCTTGTTCCTCATGATTTCAACAACCATCTTTTTGAAGAGGTTCGCCGGGCCACAAGACCATCGGTGTTGCTGATATCGGTAAGCTTTGAAGGTACTAGGCAATTCATTCTTCACCTGAAACAACTCATTTTCATTTACCATTGCTTAAGAGCTGAAAAAACTAGCAAGATTAATCCCATTTCCCACTTTTATAATCTTATGGTGTAAGAGTACTTGACCCAATAAGGGTAGGTAGTCCTGGTTATAAGGCTCTTAGATTCAAACTCCCTAGTGAAAACTTAACCATTTAAAATCTTGTTCTCTCCTAAAGAGCCCTTGATGTAAACAATGCCTCCAAAAAACTAGTGGACTTAAACCATGAGCATAATACAAAGATTTTGTAATGACCTAATCTCACTGCTAAACCCATTACGTATTGTCGTCAGCTTCACAGTTTTAACATTCGTCTATTAGAGAGAGATTTCTACACCTTTTTAAGGAATGTTTTATTCCCCTCTTCAACAAATATGGGATCTCACAATTCAAATGGTATCAGAGCTAGACATGGGTGGTGTGTTGGGCCCTCAAGGGAGGTGGATTGTGAGATCCCACGTTGGTTGGAGAGGGGAACAAAACATTTCTATAAGGGTGTAGAAACCTCTCCCTAGTAGACGCGTCTGAAAATCGTGAGGCTGACGATGCTACATAACGGGGCAGGACAATATTGGCTAGCAGTGGGTTTAAGTTGTTATAGATTTAGACGCTAGAAACCTGCCATCAATAAGTGTGATAAAAAAAAAATAAAAGAAACATCAAGTAGAAGTACCTTGAGGTCTCCAACATAGACAAACTTCCAGCCTTTTAGGCTAGCTCGAACAGCCAAATCCATATCTTCTACAGTGGTTCGATCCTTCCATCCTCCAGCCTCCTTCAGTGCAGCAATTCTCCAAACACCTGCTGTGCCTGCAAGAACTCCATGGTTAACTTGCAGAGGTTAAAGCCATCAGCAATGTCTTACAATCCCAGCTTACCATTGAACCCAAAGAAGCCATAAGTTGCAGACCCCACCTCTTGCTCCACTGTGAAATGATAATCCAATGACATCTCTTGCATTCTCGTCATTAAACATTCATCTGAGTTCACTGCAACAGTTCCAACAACCAATTTCAAAATCATCGAATCTAAACTAATTTTGTTGAGGATTGTTGGGAGGGAGTCGGCTAATTTAGGGGATGATCATGGATTTATAAGTAAAAAATATATCTCTATTGATATGAGGTCTTCTGGGAAAGCTCAAAGCAAAGCCATGAGAGCCTATGCTCAAAGTGGACAATATCACATGGAGATCCGTGATTCTTAACAATCCACCTTCCTATCATTTTTACATGAAATCAGAAACATAGAAAAGCTTACCAAACTTCCAGCGAGCTTGAACAAGAGCAATCTCAGGATTGTTCGTAAGAAATGGAATGGTACGCCAAAGAAAATCAGGTTCTGGTTGGAAATCAGCGTCGAAAATAGCGACGTAATCGCAGAGCTTAACGTAATTATGCTTCATTCCCTCTTTTAGAGCCCCTGCTTTGTACCCATTTCTGCTGTCTCTGATCTCGTACTTTATGTTTATCCCTTTGCTTGCCCATCTTTTGCACTCTAATTCCACCAGATCCTGATGATTTTTTGTCCAAATTATCACAAACCCGCATCAAAAATCCACAAAACAATGGTGGGTTTTATTGGATGAAAGTGTCCCACCTTGGTTAATTTAGGAAATGGTCATGGGTTTATAATCTAAGAATACACTCTCTATTGGTAAGAGACTTTTTGGGGAAGTCCAAAGCAAAGCCATGAGAGCTTATGCTCAAAGTGGACAATATCATACCATTGTGGAGAGTCGTGTTCGTCTAACATGGTATCAGAGTCATGCCCTAAACTTAGCCGTGCCAATAGATTGGCAAATCCTCGAATGTCGAACAAAGGACTCCAGAAAGAAGAAAGAGTCAAACCTCCTCGAACGCAGTCAAAAATGACTAAGACTCCAAAGGAGTCGAGTCTCGATTAAGGGGAGGCGTACTTTGTTCGAGGGGAGGTGTTGGATGAAAGTGTCTCACATTGGTTAATTTAGGGAATGGTCATGAGTTTATAATCTAAGAATACACTCCCCATTGGTAAGAGGCCTTTTGGGGAAGTCCAAAGCAAAGCCATGAGAGCTTATGCTCAAAGTGGACAATATCATACCATTGTGGAGAGTCGTGTTCGAGTTCGTCACTGATTTTGATGGAAAATTTTCCAACTGGAGGTGGAAGAACTCAGAAGAGAGAGCTTCTGTAAATGGTGGTTTTCCATCTGAATGATCTCTTCGTTTCAATTGGATCGAAAAGGAATTAACTTGTTTCAAGAGATTATGCTTTTGAGTTAATTATTAGGACTTTATTCATTAGCGATTGGTTTTTTATTTTAAATTATTTATTTCTGTTCTTTCACTTTCATAAATCTTATTTCTGTTTTTGGCTTTTGTTGACTCTAACTGACTTGGAATTTAGATATTAATAATAAAGCCAATTTTTAAAATAAAATGTCGAAGAAAAAAAAAACTGATTTTCCAACAATGATTCTATATTAATTAAGAATTGACTTTGGATAAGGTTTATTTATTTATTTTTGATGAAGAAATAAAATTGTTGTCCTAAAGAACTTTATAATAATAATGTGATTATGGTTTAAAAAAATGTCCAAACCTTGATAGAAGGGTCGGTAGAATCATCAAGAACTTGAATGATGATCCTATCAGATGGCCATGAAAGTCCACATGCTGCTCCAATAGATAATTGATAAACCTGATTCAAAAAAACAAAAATAAAATACTTCATCGTTCGATACTAACCCGAGACTAGATCCAATGCACAAAACAAAAAAATAAAATGAAATGAACTAACAAAATAAAACAAATGGGTTAAAAGGATACTAACTGACAAGACCCAACACACAAAACGGAGAAAAAATGAAGTGAACTAATGAAACGGAGCATATGGATTAAAAGGAAAGACAATCGATACTAACTCAAGACGAGACCCAACACACAAAATAGAGAAAAAACGAAGTGAACTAACAAAACATAGCAAATGGATTAAAAGGAAAGACAATCGATACTAACTCAAGACGAGACCCAACACACAAAATAGAGAAAAAACGAAGTGAACTAACGAAACATAGCAAATGGATTAAAAGGAAGGACAATCGATATTAACTCAAGACGAGACCCAATACACAAAATAGAGAAAAAACGAAGTGAACTAACGAAACAGAGCAAATGGATTAAAAGGAAGGACAATCGATACTAACTCAAGACGAGACCCAATACACAAAATAGAGAAAAAACGAAGTGAACTAACGAAACAGAGCAAATGGATTAAAAGGAAGGACAATCGATACTAACTCAAGACGAGACCCAATACACAAAATAAAGAAAAAACGAAGTGAACTAACGAAACAGAGCAAATGGATTAAAAGGAAAGACAATCTATACTAACTCCTCGAGATGAGACGAGACCCAATGTTACGTAAAATTGGAATAATATTCACCTCTCTTTCATTGTACATTGGAATTTGGACCAAAACCATGGGATAAACAAAATGGGCAAGCTCAAGATCATCTTGAATGGGGTCCCACTTATAAGTGTTGTGAGGGTTTCTTGCAAAGAGCTTAAGAAAGAGAATGACAACACCCATATAAAGCCTCTCAAATAAGAGCATTAGGGACATGGCCAGACAACCTCCCACACAAAGCTTCAACAAAGGGGCTATCACAGGGGCTGTGCTTTGCTCCCAAAAAGGCCCTATTTCCCCTCTCAAACCCACTCCCTCTTCCATTGATGAATGAAGCCTTTCAACAAATTTAAACTCTTTTCTCTCTCTCCTTCTAGCTTTTTAGGGAGAGAGAGAGATTTTGTTTGAAATTATTGGGAATTTGGAAGTGTATTTATATCATGAAATTTGGTTCTAAAATTTCTTTGAAGGAAAGAGATTGCACACCCAAATTTAGTGCTATTTTTTTTTAAATATTGTTCTGTTTGGGGTTTTATTTTTAATCTTTTATTTCTTTATTTGAACCAAAATATTAAAAAAAATAAAATTAAAAAGGTAGATTGGCCATCATTTTCAAATAAAAAATTTAGTGGGAAAAATATGGGGAATGAAATGGTTAATTGTAGTTGAGAGTTGGTCTTGTAGACATTCTAAGTAGCTAATCTTTCATTTTAGAGACATGAATAATGGAAATTGTATTTATAATTATAATTATTAAATAAAATATTTACCCGTCTTTTCAAAATCACAAAATTTTGCATCAAAAAGTTTTCATACTTAAACTCAAATCCTACCGTATTTTTGGTAAGAGTGGAAACCTCATCTTGTTTTAAAACTGTGAGATTGACAGTGATACGTAACAGACTAAAATGAACTATATTTGCTAGTGGAGCATGGGCTGTTACAAATGGTATTAGAACTAGACACTACTGTGCCAACGAGTACACTGACCCCCCAAAAGGGGTGGATTGTGGGACCCATATAAAATAATATATTATTCGAATTTTTTTTTTTCATAATGTCAATATAATAATAATCCGCTCTAAATTTAAATTATTAAAAAATTAAAAGATTATAATATGTAGAATATAGTCCCACGGGTTAATCCTTGAACGTTAAAAAGTTTAGAGTATACTTCATATTTAATATTTCAAGTAGTTAAAGGAAGACGACTACTAACAACAAAGAAAAAAAAAATGATTAATAGCTTTATATGTAGCTCGGCTCTTATTAGCTATGCAAACGATCAAATAAGGTGAGACGTGTACAGGCTACTGTATACAAAAAATTGCTTTGGAATAATTTCTATGCACGGTTGAAACAATAAAACTTTTGTATCGTAACGTGCTTTAACTCGAGTTTGGAAGATAAACAATAATAATAATAATTATTATTATTATTATTATTATTTTGGTTATATGGGAAATCTCAAAAGTAGTAGGTGAGGATATAAGACCGTTACCAGCTGCCTCATATGCCTTAGCTATTGGGAGGTTTAGGTCCATGGTGGAAATTTATGCTATTATTGTTATAAAAAAATTATTGTTTTTTAGTGGACACAAGGTAATAATTATTATTTTGAAGGTTGATGATTGGATTTTTATCGATGTAATTGTTGAATTAAAAAATACTAATTATTTTTTGTTGTTCGTATTGTGAATTTTTAATCATCAATATCGATGGTATTAGAATATAGAGGTGTATACGGATTCGTATTATTGAGGCTTGATGTTCGATCCAATTCATTATCTCAAAACAAATAATACGAATTGCGAAGCTTGATTAAAAAAAATCTTCTTCTGTGCTAGTATTCATATCTGGGCATTTTTTATCTTTCCGTTGCAAGTATATATTTTAACTAGCTGACATATATGTACTGAATGAGAGAAGATATCAAGAAACCTAAAATCAAGGTTAAGAAAACACTTTTGACCCGTGAAATTTCATTAAAGTAACAATTTAGCTTCTAAACTTTTGTTTGCAACGATAGTCCTATACTTTCAAAATTTAACAATCTAGTTCAAAAACTTTTATATATATAACAATTCAGTCTTTATACTTAGCATGATGGTCGAATATATTGATTAGGAACCAAATATATTTATAAATTGATCGAAAAATCGTTAATTTCATGAAAGATCAAGAACGAAAGTACCGTTTTGGGAGCCGAGCTTAGAAGAAGTGTTAGATGAAGAGGTGGAGTGTCGAGCTCTCAAAGCTCATTGTGAAGTTGAGAAGGAACTTCAGCTGACTTGAATCACAAGCTTTAATTTCTTTAAGCTTTTAGGCTGTCTACCTATGAATTTCCCACCAACCACAAATAATAACAACAATAATAATAATAATAACAATAAAAACTACTTTCATGGAAATAAAATTCCTCGTCCCTTTGTAAATATATATATATAAATTAATTCATTCAATCATTTCTATGCCTATTGATGTCTCTCTAAATATTTTAGATCAAAATACCACAGAAATTCAACACATCAACAATAAATTCATTTGTGCATTACTTCCCAACAAATATATTGAATTTTAAAGCAACCATGCACTTCTCAACAAATATATTGAATTGTAAAGCAACCATATTTGTTACAATAGCTTTATGCTCACCCACCGCTTACTGTTCCTGTTCGAGTATATTTGAAAGTGTGTTAAAATCACTTTTATCATGACTAAATTCACTTTGAAACATGCATTTAATATTTAAAACTAATTTTGATGATTAGATAACTACGTCTGAAACTGTAAAACTAAACATGAAACTGATTTGTAATGATTAAATACATGTTTTAAAGAGATTTTAAGCATGACAAAATTGATTTTAACTATTTCAAAATCACTTACAAATATACTCATCCAAGGAAGAACAATAGGCAAACGGTAGAATTCTTCGATGAAAACGTAGAAAGTAACCGGTACATGATTGAGAAAAAAAAAGATTTCAATGGTCAAAATTTTGATTATACAGACATGATGATGGCAATTAGAGAGGCAATTGATGATCAAGATTGAGATGTGGCTTGTGTAAGGGATAAGTTTCTTACAGTTTCAGGGACAGCCTGCCCACATTCTTCAAGGATTTCAACCAAGGAACCAGCAAATGATGCTTCTTCCTTGGTAATGAAGGTGTGCAACACACCATTGACCGTGTGACGAGCCATTCCTGTTAGAATCTGAACATATTTGTCTATTGATGGAAAGGCATAGAGTATGAATATGCTATCATAATTTCCCAGATCTATGGTATTAATTTGCTCCATATCAATCTTGGCTACTACGGGCCTCCATCTGCTGTCTACTTCCGAACTAATCAAAGATGAAAAGGGTAAAAATAGATGAGTTTTTGGTAGAGTATAAATACAAATATGGATGAAAAATGATTGGAGGGAAGAAACATGTGCCAATCCTTTTTTCCTAGTAGAGAATGGAGGCATTAATAATAACTAAACATTTGAAAGACGCTCGACATTTTTCTGGGATCCACAGTTCTAGTGCCAGTATTTACCAATGAAATTCAAAAGCCCACTACCCGACTAGGAGAGGCATTCCACTTTCTACGTGCATATCTTAGAAAAGACCGATATGTTTTTGATTGATCGATGTGTGATATTCAAAATCTTCATTACTAATAGAATCGAAATGATCTCTGGATTGATTAGAAGATTCTTTTCTTTACTTTTACGAAACTAGATCTTGTAGAATCATATTGAATATTTGACAAGACATTCCGTACCTAGCTAAAAAACCGATCCTTATTTATCAACCATACATAAATCCAAGTAGGAAATTAGAAAGGAATCAACTGTTAGACGAACACGACTCTCTACAATGGTATGATATTGTCCACTTTGAGCATAAGCTCTCATGGCTTTGCTTTGGGATTCCCCAAAAGGCCTCACACCAATGGAGTTAGTATTCCTCACTCATAAACCCATGATCATTCTCTAAATTAGCCGATGTGGGACTTTCATCATCCAACATCAACTACTTGAAGGCTAATTATGATTCAGGAAAAAACAATAAATTAAAATATTTATATTAAAAAACAATATTTCTTTGTAGTATGAAATTTTCGATTTTTTCCTTTAAAAAACCTTTAGAATTGCATTAAAAAAGCTAGTGGCATGCGCATGCTTACTTGTTCTTAATTTCTGGGACACCACGTAATGCTCCAGCTACGATATCATGGCCTTTGGATTTAAGAGCAGCAGCTAATTCCTGAACATTACACTCCTTCCCAAGAATAAAGAGCATCTTCAACGGCTGTGGGCAGAGCTGACTGCCATTGGCTCTATCCAAAGCTTGGATGACCTTCAAAGATCATTAATGATGACTGTTAATAGAACTTCCAATCCTAGTGTAGGAGAGTAAAATGAAAAGTCGATGATAAAAGGAGAAGCTTCGTTTCTTAGTATTGCTGCAAACTATGACTTTAGGAGTAAGAATTACCAACTAAAAAGTGAAAAGTTCAAAAGTGATTGAACAGTATCAGAATGTGAGGGTCACATCCGCAATAAAAAATTTCCTAGAAACTGGGATACGACATCTATCCATTTTATATCAAAACTTGGCAAATGACTGCTACCTCAAGGTTTAAGAAGTCAGGCTCACAATAAAATACAACTCATCATAAGTTTTTTCCTTCTAAAAAACGGTTTTGGAAGACTGAACAGAGATTTCCCAGCAGTTAACAAATGCGGAGGCTGCACGGAAGTATATGAAGTTGATGTACATACGTACCTTTGATAGTTTTCCCTCTTCAGAAGTACAGAAGTTTATCGACTGAATAATGCAGGCACTTCGACTGGCCACAGAAGCATTAAGAGACAGTCTTTGAATTGGGCCACTGAGGAGATCTTGTACAACTGGGACATAGGCACAGCTGAAGCTATCACTGAAAACAATAGTATGCAGATTGCTTGATATAGACTTCCTGATGGATTGTATCATTTCAAGATAACCACCTTTTGAAAAAGAATCCAGTCCATCGACGACCTGAAAAACGTCAAGGAAATTATAAATCTTAAAGCAGAGTGTCCATAATACTGACAATAAGCATTTTGTGACATACTCTATACTTCTAAAGTAAAAACAGGCCACTTGTTCATCTTCAGAGACCTTGAAGGATTATAATTGAGACAATGCATTGTAAACAAATATCAAAATATTCATCGATATTAAGAATTAATTGATATTTTCTAAGATATATATATATATATCTATATATATATATATATATATATATATATATATATATATATATATCATCTATTAATCTTAATATTATTATAAATACTAAAAACAAGATTTGTAACTTCGTTTAAAAGTAAAAAGAACTTGATCATTATATATCATCTATTAATCTTAATATCATCAATTCAATATCCATCAATTATTTTAATCCTTAATTGCGGAAAAGACATCTACAAAGCCACAGCGAATAACCAGATAAGAAGGTCTGAAACAGTAAAAATATTTTATAATCATTAAAATTCATCACAAAAAATAAAGAATACAAAATTCAAAACGATACTTCAAATAATAAACATAGACTGTCAAATTACCAGCAATGAAACACCAGCTATATCAATAGCCTGCATGGCAACGAGCTCTAAGAGTCTCTCAGGTGTGGACACGAGAAATTCAGGTTCACAGCTCTTCAAACTATGGAATGAGAGATAACTTTCCAATTAGATATAAAACAGAAAAATCAGAAGGAGTCCAAATTGTTTACAGTGCTAAATACATATACATGGTATGAACAGAGGCAGGTACGAGATGAAAATAAATAAAGAACTTATACTCTAAAATATTTCACAGCTCAGTCTCAAACAAAAAAACTGTTACAATATACCATGACGCACGAGCAAGCTTACCCTTGAATTTGGTGGTCTAGGGATGCCCCAGAATGTATGCTCACTGTATGTACTCCAAGAGCCTTCAACGGCTTGCACATGGAGCGAACATGAGTAGCTTTCTCTTGGGTAGGAACAAGAAATAAAAGATATGGGCTACTAAATGATAAACCTTCTTTCTCTTTTCTAGCAATACTGTCAGCAGCCGAAGAAACCACCCATGCAATTTTCTCATCTGTAGAAGACAACCCACTGGTGTCCAGAATATCCTTCCCAGAAGAATAACATTTCCAGAACTCAATGCCCCAGGCATCAGCCGACAAAGGCTTGTTGATCCCTTTGAAAGAATCATGATATAGAGCCTTCTCTATTGCATTTAAGCAAAGTATAAGAAACTTTGAGGGAGAGATAGAACTGTCAAAGCCTTCTTCTTGAAAGTCTTGTACACCGCCTTCCCCATTCGCATTAACTTTTGTTCTTTCAGGACAAGTCTTGCTTCTTTTGGCTATGTGGCCACTGGTGGCATCTCCAGACCCTTCTTTTGAACTCCTAACTTTCTCACGGCAAGCGTCTCCACGGGTTCTATTAGGTGCTGAAGAACTCTTATCCTTTGGAAATTCCCTCTTGGAGCCTTTTGAAGGCGTGACCTTAGTTTCCTTCTTATCCAAGTCCTTGTTCCCATTCCTATCATTGTAGGGATCATCAAGAGTAGGAAGGCTAAAGCACATTCCCTGTAATGTAGCGAATTCAGACTCCGTATATTACACAGTCAGAGTGATTAATAGAGACGACTTGCAAAAAAAAAAAAAAAAAACAGGCAACATTTCGGCGAATCAGGATAATCAATGTCCCAAGAGTCAGCATGATGAGCAGCGAACTTAATTTACGAGTTACCAAGTGTGATCTAAAACAAATCAATCACGGAAAATCATCTTCGCAGACAAGCATTTTCATACTGTACTGCTGCGAATCGAACAACACTAATTTATAAGTTATATCATCCCTAAAGCAAGATAAACTTCGCCTACCAACGATAAATCCGAACTGAAAAGCCCTTTTTCTACTAATGTCATTCCTCAAGCATAGAACGCTACTCTAAAGCATACAGCAACTTCGTAAATCCAAAAATATGATGAAAACACACAAGAATTAATACTTCCAAAGTTACCTGGCAGTTTCTGCGTTTGCCGGACTTACGCCGCTTCTTGGCGGCGATTATGGCGGCAACGCGCGCAGAAACAGACGAGGAGTCTCCGTTCTTACTCCGGAGCTTCTTCCGAGAGGCTTTGTTCCTTTTTCTCGCCAACGCATCGTCGCCCTTCGCCATTGATACACAGAGAGGCCGAAGATTTGTTCTGGAGCTGCCGCTGCTGCGGCGACTTGCAAGAGTAGGCGCAAACAAGGGATGTTCCGTTTTTGTGTAAAGTGACTATTTTCTATTCAAAGGGGCGAGACTGGTAATTAGAGACAAATTTATTTAGGCTAAATTAATAAATAAATAAATTCTTTAAAATATCCTTAAATTTCAAAAACTGAAATAACCTTATCGTCCTTTGTTTCAAAAATATCATTAAATTTTTTTAAAGTACTTAAAAATACTAAACTTCCAATAAAAATTTTTAAAAAATAGATAAATTTATTTAGCCTAAATTAATTAATTAATAAATAAAAATTTTAAAATATTCTTAAATTTCAAAAAATGAAATTACCTTATCATCCTTTGTTTCAAAAATATCATTAAATTTTTAAAAGTATTACTTCCAAAAAAAATTAACACATGAACTTTTAAAAATAATAATAATACTCTTTTAATTTTTTAAAAAAAATTAAAAAGTTAAGGGTAATATGGGAAAAGATAAAATATAAATAATTTTGTGAGTATTTTTTTTAATTAATTTAACCTAAAAATATTGTATATAGACGATGGGCCAGCGTTTACCTGGATCCGTCCAATATGAATTGCCACGGCCCGCCGCCCTTAGTTTCCTTCCATTTCCATCGTCGCGCGTTTCTCGTATTCTTCAGACGATTTCGCTCTCTTCCATCGCCCTCACTTTCCTGGTCTGCTCAAAGTAGCCATTGTTGACGCTTTTAAAGCTTGAAGGTTACTCAATATTCCATTTTTTCCCTCCTTTTTTCTGGTTTTCATTACGATTTTTCAGTCTCGGCTTTGAATGGCTCTCCGTTTAGATTGTTGGAACGTGTATCTTTCTAGGATTTTGGATTTGTATTGAAATGATGAAATTCTCGAAATTAGGTCGATCGAAATGACGGAAGACAAGCGGAATATTCTTGACCATTATCGACGACAGCTTGCTGCGAAGTTTGAGTTGAAACGGAAGCTTTACAAAGCCGTTTGCAACGATCCGAGTCTTCCCAACGATGTGCGTGAAGAGCATCGTTATAAGCTGTCGAAGTTGCCAAGAAATAGTTCGTTCACTCGATTGAGGAATCGCTGCATTTTCACCGGTCGGCCTAGGGGTGTCTACCAGCTTTTCCGTGTTTCTCGTATCGTTTTCCGTGATCTGGCGTCCAAAGGTCTTATAATGGGCGTCAAGAAATCTTCTTGGTAGATATTGGTACGAATTTTTCTTCAATATACATGTTTAGTATATGACAATGAAGGCAGGAATAGGATATATATGTTGTACACATGTTTTAAGCTCCATTTGTTTAGTCTTGAATGCTTGTTTATGATGAATTGATTTGTTTAATGTAGACTAGGTAAACCATTTTCTTGGAACATGGTGTGAGATGGGTTAGCCATAAATATTTGTTTTGGTAACTGCTCAAGCTCACTGTCAGTAGATATTGTCCGCTTTGCCTCATTATACATAGTTATTAGCTTCACAGTTTTAAAATGTGTCTACCAAGTAAAAGTTTTCACACTCTTATAAGGAATGTTTCGTTCCCTCCAACTAACGTGGGATCTCAAAATCCACCCCTTGTGGGGGCTAGCGTCCTCGTTGGCACACTGCCCGATGTCAAGCTCTTATACCATTTTGATACAACTCAAGCCCACCACTAGTAGATATTGTCTGCTTTGGCCCGTTATTGTCAGCATTACGGTTTTAAAACACATCTGCTAGGGAGAAGTTTTCACACCCTTATAAGGAATGTTTCGTTCCCCTCCCCAACCAATATGGGATCTCACAGTTCTCCTTTATCAACCTACTTTACCCATGAAAGTTTGGGATGAACATTGGATCCTTATTGTCCGTGCAAAACAGTAGGATTCGGGTCTTTAGCTCAGATATTCTTACTTGAAGCTGCAGTATTTTGCTATAAAAGATTAAGTTTCCGTTGCTGGGTTAGATTTATGTTCACTGACTCAAAGTTTTAACAAGTCAGGTTCAGTAATAAGGAGGAAAGGGACTTTCGCTAGGCCAAATCTACAGATCTGGGTTCCTCTGTAGTTTGTTCATTCCCACTGTAGTACAATATTCTTAAAGCCTTTTATATTTTAAAGATTTATATGAACAAGCTAGTAAAAAATGTAACTTGGTTCCGAAATTCTTGATGACTTCCCCAATTTTGTCAAGAAGGAATTTGTATCTCACTTTTCTTTGCTGTCATTTGGGGTATTTGGCTTGAACATAAGAACAGGATCTTCGAACAGGTTGAGAAGTTGTGTGGCAAGGTTTAGGATTTGGCTACATTTAATGTCTCCGTTTGGGCGTTTGTCACTCAGTCTATGATCTTGGCTTGATTTTGCTGAATTGAAGCTCATTTCTGTAGTTTGTTTTTGGACTCCCTCTTTTTGTCAGACTTTTTTCTTTTGTGTGCCGTGTAATGCTTTCATTCTTTTCTCAATAAAACTTTGGTTTCTTACATCTGTTTGATTTATTTGCAATGAAATAATTACCATTTGCCGTGACCCACCTCAACCACAGAGGCTTAAATTTTAGTTTACTGCTAGTAAATATTGTCTGCTTTAGCATATTTCATAAATTGTGGTTATAACGGTCTAAGTACACTTCTATTAGATGTTGTCCACTTTAGCCTGTTTCGTGAGGTTGGCAGCAATACGTAACAGGCCAAAGCGGAAAATATTTGCTAGCGGTGAACTTAGACTGTTATAACCACAATACTTCAATGACTACCCCATCTACATGCTTTGCATTTGTGGTTGAAGTGGGTCACGGAAAATGGTAATTAAACTGTGAGGATACGTAACGGGTCAAAGTGGACAATATTTGTTAGCGATGAGCTTGGACTGTTACACTCTCGGTTGGGTTTTGTTCACGCTATCATGTGCAGGTTGATGGTAGAGACTTTTGTCGTTGGGGATCAATGAATGTTGTGGGGTTGTTATATTTCTACGAGATTCTCTCTTCAATATTGGCGGGAATTCAATATAGACACTGGAAAAGGGGATGCTAATTGGAAGTTCCTTGCACATGATTCATGCCTGTTTACGCGTATGACCAAAGAAGAGTTAAGGCTTTACTTTTGTTATTCAATAAAGGTTTTCTGTTAACTGTTACTAGTGTTGTTATACTATGCTGATAGAAAAAGGTTAAACCGTATAGAGCTTAGAGACAATAGGTTCAATCTAACCTATCTATAGTGGTCATCTATTAAGAATTTGATATTCATCGAACAGGGGTGTTCATATGACTCGAGAATCCAATCAACCTAGATCATCCAATCCAACCAAACTAGTTTGGGTTGGGTTGAATTTTTGAAAAACAAAAAATTTGGGTTGATTCACCCGACCAACTTCTCAAAAATAGGGTTATAATTCAACCCACCTCTACTTTTAAGATTATTAGAAAGATTAAGGATATTTGAAGTTTGTAATTGATGTTAGTAATGTGTTGTGACTTGAATTGTGATTTAGTACCGATTTTTAAATAATTAAAAAAAATAACCTGACAATCCAACCCAACCCGAGTTGGGTTGTGTTGTGAACTTTATTCCGATTGCTTGGGTTATCAATCGATCAACCTGAAATTCTGGATTAGCTTTCAATCTTACCCAACGTGTGTCACTCTTGCTTGGGTCGGAGATAGTTGTGGGAATAGTTTTGATGCGAGTAAATTGGTTTAGACACTTATTTGTATTTCATACAGATTGTGCGGCACTCACTTTCCAACCACAAGTGAGCTAAGCCAATTTATTCTTGCGTTGCCTACGGCCAAGCGACGTATGATCGAGCCTCTAGCCTCGGTTTTAAAAGAAGGTTTTAGAAAATGAGGAGAGAGAGAGATTTTAGAAAGAATAGTTATATAAGCAAGTTAGAGAAAGATAACAACGGGTTAACATATATAACCTTGGGTATGGAGAGTTTATCATCTTCCGTCTAGATAATTGTGGCGGAATATAGAATCAAACCATCCATTTTAAAATTGTTAATGGGTGTTTTATTCCCGACTATGTTTTATTATCATTTTTCTTAATAAACGGTATATTTCTAAAAAAATCTAAATAATAAATAGGCGTTTTCAATTATTGTGAAAGAATTATTTTTCTATTTTAATGAAATATTTTATATATGTATTTATTTATTTATTTTTAGTAATTAAGGCCCAAAACTTTTCCATGAAATGAAATTAAAGAAAATGTAAATTCCTTGTTTAGCAATGAGGGACCAAAATTAGTGGGGAAATGAGTCATCACACCATGGCTAAAGTCATCCTAATTATGTTAACAGAAATCTAAAATCCTCTCTTTTTATTATATTTAATAATTTTTTAGAATCATTTGCTTGCAAAGTTATCATTAAAATGGTAAGAAATTATTAATAATTAAAAAGATGGTAAGAAATTATTAATAATTAAAAAGATAGAAAACAAAATAAATCAATAAGATGAGGTGAAATTATTAATAAGACGGGTTAATGATGAGGGTAATTTATTTATTTATTTAATTTCATTTCATTGTCAATAAAACAAAATAAATCAAATTATTTTTAGTAAAAAATCTAATTTACTACGTATTTTAAAATAAATATTAAAATATAATATACTTTTGAATTTAATTCTATAATTAACTTAACTCAACCCAAAAAATTGAGTCGGGTAGGTTCAGAGTAATTTATTCATATTTTAATAAAAATAAAATCTTAATTTCTAAATATATATTTATTTATTTTTAAATATTTAATTTAGGTTTTTAACTCGATTTCATTATATATTTTTGAAAAGTTATCTTCTAAATAATTAAAAGTTATTTTTAAAGGAGGTTGGCCAATAAATAATAAAAATATTATTATAAAATTTTAAAAATATATAATATAAGTATATAGTAAGTAAAAATATATAATTTAAAATTAAATAATAAAATTAATCTAATTTTTTTTAACACATCTACTTTAGATTAAAAGTATATTTCAAAAAGTAATTAATTAAAAAAAATTAAATAGCGACACTTTAATTCCAGTCGTTTTCGTGCATTATTTTTTTAATATTTTCCGTTCTTCCATGTGGTCCAAGTCCTCACTGCTTCGTCGCTACTTCCTTCTCGTCTTCTTCCTCTCTCTCTCTCTCTCTAAGCTCTCATCTTTGGTCATCGATGGAAGACTTCTGGTTGGGCCTTTTCGTCTGCATGTGACCGGTTAGTCTTCTGCTTTTTCACGTTTGTTTTTTTTTCTCCTTCAATTCAGTGTCTATATAAGGATATTCATATTCGATTCATAAAGTTTCCGAATCTGCTTCCAACTTCGGGAGTTGAGTACTGATTCATGTTTAACCTGACAAATCTCCCTTTCAGAAGAATCAAGGTTGGTGGATTTACGAGTTTTTGTTGCGTTTCTGTTAGTATGTCTAGTGAGGTGCTGAAATTTGAGTGTTTGGATCCTGTTTTTTGATTTGGAGATTGTGAATCCGTACATTTTTTCCCGCTTGTGGAATTGTGTGTTGCTGTTTTGTGGCTTTGGAAATCTTGTAAAGATCCAATCGGTGTGGATGTTATGGCTTCTTCTTTTTTCCTTTTCTTGCTTTTGTTTTTTCGTTTTTTAATGAAGCTGAAAGGGAAAGGAAAACTATGAAAATTTTGAGTTGATCGATTGGTATTGTTTGTTATTTGTAGTTTTAGCGTGTCCTTAATATCTATGAATCAGAGATCGGAGAAAATTTTTACTCCGATAGGTTGATGGATGTTTCCTCCGTTCTACTACTGAAGTTTTTGTACTCTCAACTTATACGAAGTTAATTAGAGCTTGTGATTTTCTTTTTTGGAACAGAATAAGGGATGTGGTTGTGAGCATCTTAAATATCTTAGATATCAAATTGGGGAAAGATGGTCTCAGAATCTTGGTTTCGCAGTCTATGGAAGCCGCCAAGGAAGCGTGATTCCACGCAGAAGGTTGTTATTGGAGTATTAGCTTTTGAAATTGCTAGCTTGATGTCCAAGTTGGTTCATCTATGGCAGGCTTTGAGCGATAAGCAAGTCGGGAGGTTGAGGGAAGAGATAGCCAATTCGTTGGGAATAAAGAAGCTTGTGTCCGATGACGATGAGTATATCGTACGTCTAATATGTGCTGAGATGACAGAGAGTTTAGCTCATGTGGCTAAATCTGTTGCCAGGCTTGGAAAGAAATGCAGTGATCCTAGTTTAAAAAGTTTCGAGCATGTTTTTGATAATTTAGTTCAATTTGGTGTTGATCCCTATGGCTGGATATACTCATGGAAGAAGATGGCAAAGAAAGTGAAGAAGATGGAGACATTTATTTCAGTGAATGCAAATTTGTATCAGGAGATGGAGATGCTTGCAGATCTTGAGCAAACTTTGAGGAGAATGAAGATTAACGACGACTTGGATGATACAAACCTAGATGAGTTTCGAAAGAAGGTTGAATGGAAGCAGCAGGAGGTGAAAAATTTGCAAGAGATGTCGCTTTGGAAAAGGACCTATGATTACACGATTCTTCTTCTAGCCAGATCCCTATTCACAATATTCAGTAGGATCAAATATGTATTTGGAATCGAGCAGAGTCTGGATAATGATTCACGAGATATGAGTTCTGACTCGATAGCACGTAGTCAATCAGTGTCTGCATTAATGCAATCGATGGTCCATCCCTCTGAGAATGGTCTTACTAAATTTGCATCGGGGCCCCTTAAGAGGTTTACAACTAAATCAGGGCCGATCTCAAAAACAGCTAAACACAATAATTTTCATTCTGGTCCCCTTGGTGGCTCTATTACGAAATCAGGTCCTATTTCAGGCCCCGTTTCTGGAGCGAATAGAAACTTCAACTCTTATTCGGGTCCTCTCACAAGTTCAACAATAAGATCAGGTCCAATTTTTGGAATAGACAATACAACCAATCAGAAGAATTGGCTTGTCGGTGGCTACTCTTCCCTGTTTAATGGGAAGAAATCTCATCAGAAGTCAAACAGACTGACTCAAGTTGGACCTTTCAAGGGATGCATGATATCTGGCCCTAGTTCTACGGTTGTCAATTGTCACATTAGTTCAAATGAGCATCATTCACAGCTTATCAATGGACCCAAAGACACTGGAAAGATTGTTGATCCTTGCAAGCAGTTGCTCCGTACCCATTGCCGATTGTTGGAAGCCCCACCCGAGACTCTAGGTGCTGCTGCTTTGGCACTGCACTATGCAAATGTCATTATTGTAATTGAGAAGCTTGCTGCATCTCCTCATTTGATTGGCCTAGATGCTAGAGATGATCTATACGATATGCTGCCAGCTAAAGTTCGAGCTAGCTTGAGGGCAGCTCTAAAACCATATGCCAAGAGCTTGGCTTCATCTGCGTATGACACAGTTCTTGCAGGAGAGTGGAATGAAGCAATGACTGGGATATTAGAATGGCTTGCTCCACTGGCTCATAACATGGTTAGATGGCAATCTGAACGTAGTCTCGAACAACAGAATTTCGTTTCCAGGACCAATATGCTTCTTGTACAAACTCTTTTCTTCGCAAGTCTAGAAAAAACCGAAGCAATCATTACCGAACTTCTTGTTGGTCTGAATTACCTATGGAGGTTCGGTAGGGAACTCAATGCAAAAGCTCTAAGCGCGTGTGCCAGCAGCAGAATACATGATGAATATTTGGATATCGTTGGGTAACATTCTTTTCTATTCCATTGGTATTGCCCACTGAATTGCAGAACAGTCGTCCAACAGCAGGAGGCGTCCTCAGCTCTACAAGATCAATATCCCCAATTGGAGGCAGCACGAGAGAGAGAGAGCCATCGCTACTCCGTTGCATTATCAATACTCCAATACCCGAAGTCATCATCGACAAACTAGGTTTGAGCTTTTTAACATTCTTTCACTTGATAGAGTTATTCAGCTTGCCAAATGGGGGACACTCCCATCCTCGTAAAAGCATGGTTTGCTAGTATTAAGTTATTACTACTTGAAAGTTGTATATGTATCAGTAATACGTACTCCATATATGTAAAGCATCTACGATATATAGGCTTGCCATTCCACGCAGAAACTCGCTCGAGACTGAGCTTGTTGCATCTAAGTAGAAGTCATCACAAATTGCTGCTGTCCTTTCCACTTCCTTTTCAATATATGGATGT